CAGCTTTCCTGGTTGCCGAGTTGAAAGTGGGTGACAAAATTCACTCGCTTTGCGCGCACACACACAGACACACAGACAGCCTCTCGACAATATGCGTTTTTGCTGGCTGTAGCAACGCTATAGCGCTGCTATAGCGCTGCACAGCAAAAACGCATAAAAAATCCAAGTATGCTAATGAACCAAATGTTAATTTACATATTTGGGCGTAGGCGGTCTCACACTGCAGAACGCACTCGTTTCTGATTCTTCGGTAATGTTGAATATTTCTCACGCCTGCCCGCAGAGAATTTCACCTCCAAGCAGAAGATAGCACTCGGAAATAGATTACCCCAGCGAATTTTCAGCCTAGAACCTTATCCAGTAAGCGAAATATCCACTTCGCTACAAACATCTTTGAAGTGCCCCAAGTCGTGGCGCAGGTGCAGATCGGTGCTCATTTAAAGTATACGATTTCCCGCATGGGCAACAAACATCCTAATAAAATTTCAGCCGCTGTTCTCTAGCAACTTTTCGAGTTAGCATAGTACCAGGTCGCAAAGTTTGACGTAGTCGTACGCGCTGATAAGCGTGCGCGGCATCTGGATTTGAAACCTAGCTTGTACATGCACACGGAATACCCATGCAAAGTTCCAGCCTCATAACTTGCCTGGTCCGCAAAATCGTATGAGCGAAGGCTTTAAAACCGGGGGATGACTCACGGGTTGGGAAATATGCCCAAAATTTCAGCCCGCCTTTCCTGGTCGCTGAGTTGAAAGCAGGTGAAAAAGTTCGCTCACTCCTGAACACACACACACACACAGCCTCTCGACAATGTGGGTTTTTGCTGGCTGTAGCAGCGCTATAGCTCTGTACAGCAAAAACACATAAAAACGAATAACACTTGTTTTAGAAGAAGCATATTTCACTCGAAATTTATCGTGAAATGAGTTTTATGTGCTTCTAGAAATATCGGAACTCATTACTGTGATGTGACATATGCATTCTTAAAGTTATGCATGTATAACAGTTACAATAGCTACATAAATTTATTGTTATAAAAATAACTTCATATGTGACAGCTAATGTATATAGCTGCTGTATAT